CCTTTAAGATTTTCACAGACATTTTTAACACATTAATGTAGACATGCCATGTGCTACCATGTCTCAAAACCACAACAATCACCCCTTAAAAAACAGCAACAACAAAACAAGGACCACAGGACTAAATAATCCATCCCCCTGATCGCTAAAGTAATGTAGTCCTTTCGGCACTATGTGCTTAAAGTTCCATCTTCAAGCCAAGACTCACTTCTGGATAACTGCAGTTTGCCTACAGACCCAACAACTGCTTTATGGAAGCAATAAACATGGCTCCTTACTGCATCCTGCATCAGCTGAGCTTCCCAGGAACCTCCCTGGGTTTGAACATCAGCTTTGCTTGCAAACGTCATCCTAGCTGTGCAGCAGGACAAGCTCTCTCAGCTGATTATGCCTGACTCTACCAGCACATGGATCACAGACTTCTTGACAGACATCAATCAGTATGTGAAGCCAGGAAAACAGGTCTCTAATTATAGAGCATTCAAAGGCAGATACCGTTTGTAGCCTGGGAATAATGTTAGATCATCCAGAGGGAGCTACCTGGAGAGAAGATCTGGATTTTTTTTTATCAAAGACCTGTTATTTTGTGACTTAAACTTGGATGGATGAATGGATTTTCAGAACCATAGAGAGACCTATTAATGTGTCTCTGGACATGGAGAAAATCTGTGACTTTAAAAGAATTTGAAACAGCTTAAATTATTTTAAAACAAAAACTAGAAGACTTATTTTTACTTGATGATCTGTGTATGGTCTACCTCAGATGAATTCAACTTGAGAGTTGAAGCCCCAGTGGATGTACTGTTTGTATGTGTGCGCGTGCGTGCGTGGATGGGGTAATCTTTTTTACAAAAAAAAATGTTTATATGTAACCTTCACAGAGTGCGAACAGTTTGCATGGATACCTTATAACTATGATATTTGATTTATTTTTGTGTATATTCTTAAGGGCTAAACAGGTTAAACCTTCAGCACTTTCCCTTCTGTGCCAATAATGAGCTTTAATTGATATACTAACAATTTAACTGACTGGGAATTAAGTTAAATTCCCAGTTAATTACAAAAAAAAAAATGTTTTACGTGTAGACTAATCTATATTTATTTTTGGTGTTTATGTCCAAGTGAACATTAGACCTACAACCATTCTCTGGGCTGAACAGGTTATATCTTCAACAGCACTTTGCCTTCTTTACCATGCAATAATGAAGTTTAGTTGATATGCTAACAACCGCAAATGAAGTGACAGTTATTTAAACCCCACTAAAAGCTAATCAAGCACATTGTATCACTTTGGCAAAATCTCCTGACTTGTAAAAGCGCTATATAAGAACAAGCCATTTACGTTAATTAAAGTAATTTAAGCAATATAAACCATGAGTGTAAATCAACCAAATTTGTACTAAATCCTATACTGCAACCATTGTGATATAATAAAACAATGTAAACTTTTAATCTGGAATCCATTAAATGTTTGGATAAAATTGAACCTAGAAATGAGAAAAATTTGATTAGTTTTCAATTAAAAAAATTTTTCTTGAAAATTTTTCTACCTTTATGTGTTGAGGTATATGTGTATTTTGGTTGCACTTAATTATTGTACTGATACAGATTTTAGTTTAAATGCTTATTTACGCAGTTATTTGTTCAATTCAATTCAGTTCATTTATATATTGCCAGTTCACAGCAGGTCATTTTGAGGTACCTTAGAGAAACGGTTTATAGTCAGATTGGTTAAACGTTTTTTATCTAAGGAAAACCCACTGATTGGATTAGGTCATTGGTTTTCTTAATACCCCTAGAGGAGCATGTAGAGACAATAGACATTCACTTTAATTTTTATTTTTTTTACGGTACTGCAATCCGTCATACTGTGCATGCATGTACTGTAGAGGAAAAACTCCCATTTAGCAGGAAGAAACTTCCAGCAGGAACAGGCTCAGTGTGAGCGGCCTTTAGCTGAAGCAGACTGAGGGTAAGAAAATACAGAAGGTTAAAATCAAAATGC